ATGCCTCCTAGGTTCTGAAAATAACTGTGAGAGATGGTAATGGTGGAGACATACGGTTTTAACCATGTGTTTTCATTTTCCCATTCTCTACTAAGAAAGACACAGGAATGGATGTAGCCACAGTTCCTGTCTCCTTCCCCCACCTTCAATGTTTTGTTAGCTATGATTCGAACGTTACCAAAGCTCATAGCCTGCACAATCACTTGGTAACTTGACTTCACGTAGATGTTTAGTCTCAGCTCTGTATTTTGTGGACTTGCCCTTCCTCACCAGGGCTTTCATGAAGACATCTCCCTTCCTAGGTCGTTTTTATTCATTTCATGGTTTGCGAGATTTGGTGCCAGTGATTTTTTTCTTAGAGGAACCCAGTGACCATACTCCTTGAGGTCCTGGGAGCATGGGGACGCTGTCTCTTTCCATATGCACTCTGCACCTGCAGTGGGCCTTCCGTCCTCACCTCAGCACTCTGTAGAGCCTCTCCTCGGTCTTCTGGCATCCAGCACGAAGTCCTAGGAAGGCCCTTCTGCCGGCGTTCTCATCTCCTGAACTTTCTGACTGAGCAGCTCTTCCGAGAAGGGCCCACGGGTGTTGCCCGGTCCCTGAGTTCTGGAGTTCGGGCAGTTTTGAGAGTGCCTGCTCATTGTCTTTGACGTTAAATGACCTTAGCTGGAGCGAACATCCTGGTGTCTCACGCTCCCTTCCCAGGCGCTTTGCAGCCTTTGCCCCGTTGCCTCCCGCAGACTGAATAGACTTTGGCTGCGGAGAACTCCAAGCCAGCCTGATTATTTTCAGCCTTGTTGGTGAATTATTTATCTACCTGGATGCCTCAAGAATCATTTCTTTCACCTTGAAAATCAGGACCTTCACCAGGATATGTCTGGTAGATTGTTCTGTATAATTTTATGCTGAAACCTGATATGAGCTGTAGAATCACAAGGCATTTCTTCTGTGAATCATTCCTTTTCTCCTGCACTGCCTTGCTTCCACAGGTTGGGCTCTTTTTTGGGGAGCCAGTTTTCCTTATGCTTGACTATCGCTGTCTCTGGGGTCAATTCTCTCTCTTTGCTTCACTCCCTGCTATGTCTGCACTGGCCTCCACCGTGGTGACCACAGCCTTTTTCCTGAGTCACTAATTTGGTGTTGGTTGCGGGTAGCCTCTTTTCTCAATGTTTTGACTCTCTGTAGGATTCCTGTAATGATGGTGTTTTGGGTCAACTTGTTTCCTGGAGTCTGCAATTTCTGTTTTCATCTTATTTCCTTGTTTGATAATCTTGCCTTTGAGTGACTATTTTTATTGCATTTCTGTTCCTATTATAGCCTTCTCAAGCATGAAGTACGCCTGGGAAATTTTCTTCTGATCCTCAGGGGATTTGGTCTAGGAACATTGATCCATCTTTTGCAAGGTATATTTCTCCCTGCTCCTCATCCTCTTCTCCCTCTCTCTCCTCCTTCCTGCTCTCCTTCCAGGCGCTCACCTTTGGCTGGCATTGGTAACTCATGGATTCCTTTAACAAGGGATTTCTTGGCTGCGGCTGCACATTTGAATCGGGATGCTGCGACCAGGTGTACTCTAGACCAACTAAATCAGAACCTCTGTGGGCGACAGCCAGGCCTTGTGTTTCTTAATCTCTCCAGCTATTTCCGGTGTGCAGTTATTGTTGAGAACTGTGGGTCTAATGTCTCAAATTATCTAGGAAAATAAGAAAATAACCAATTATATAAGTTTGACTCCTGACATAGAAAGGGGGTGACCCTGTAGGAATATGTTTTGAGTTGGGACATTGACCTACAGGGCCTTGTAAATGTCCTACAGCCCGGAGCTTGGTGACAGGGCCCAGAGAGTCCATGGCCTGGGGGCTGCTCCCTGTTGGTGGTTGGTGGTCCTGGCTACCTGCCGCGGCCTAGGCTTGATTTTTGATTTGGACCTTCCCAGGGGCCTCTTCCTGCTGTCTGGAGCCTTGCATTGGAAGAATTACTTTGCCTACCACCTCACTTGCTTTCAAACAATTATTTATTTGGAGGAAAAAAAAGTCTTTTCTCAAAGGGCCCAGTCTACATTTTCCAACTTCTGCCAAAGCTGGAGTCTGAGCCATTACTTTGAAACCAAGCTGTGAATGGCTCATTCCTCACTAATTCCCAAATGGGAATCTCAATGTTTGTTTACTTTCTTAAAAAATTCACATTTAGCCTGAGGCTCAGCTGAAGGAATTTTAAACATTCTTTAAGAGCCGTAAAGATGAGTTGGGAATGAAATGACCACTCAACTTTAACTAGAGCCATCATTTTTTTTAAAAGCATGTCATTAAGTACACGGAGCTCGGTTGTGACTGAGGAATGATCTCCAGTCGCAGGGAGAATGTTAATTTCATTGGACATGTCTCTTGAAATGAATTTGTGGTTAAGGAACCATTTTTGAGCCAGGAAAAGCCCTATGAGAATGAACGGCATTAGGATTCTGTGCACCCAGTCTTTACTGAATGTTTAATGTGGTCAGGGAATTGTGCTAAGTGCTGGGCCCTGGCTCACCCTGTAAAACCAGCTACTGCTGTGTGGGGACAGCCGGCCGGAGAGCCAGGGCTCAGCGGATCCAGTTGCAATGCATTTTCTAAGGTAAATACATTCAGAACAATAAATGCTTCCCCAGCTCGTACTGGAAAAACGCTCACTCTAGGGCTGGAAACACAGAATTAGGATGTGCTTTATTTAATCCAGGAGCGCTGACTTCCTTGCGCATCCTCTCAACCAATGTCCCAGCCCCTCCGAGTAATTAATAAACCAGTCACAAGAACAAACATCATAAAAGGTTTGAGCTTGGGGGAGCAGAGCAGGAGAGCGTGGGGTACAGCACAGCCGCTGGGTTCAGACATCCTGCCTGGGAGTCTGCTGGTCTCTCCCTCGTTATCTGTCTATGGGGCTCGGTGTGGACCCTGAGTATGGACAGGGGTGTGGGACACTGTGAATCCTGTGTGTGGACACCAGGTGTGGACGCTGGGTGCGGACCCTGGGTGTGGTGGACACTGGGTGTGGTGGACACTGGCTGTAAACCCTGGGTGTGGACATAGGGTGTGGACCTTGGATGTGAGTTACTGGGTGTGGACCCTGGGTTTGGACACTGGGTGCAGACCCTGGGTGTGGTGGACACTGGGTGTGATGGACACTGGGTGTGGACCTTGGATGTGGACACAGGGTGTGGACCTTGGATGTGAGTTACTGGGTGTGGACCCTGGGTGCAGACCCTGGGTGTGGTGGACTCTGGGTGTAAACCCTGGATGTAGACATGGGGTGTGGACCTTGGATGTGAGTTACTGGGTATGGACCCTGGGTGTGGTGGACCCTGGGTGTGGTGGACACTGGGTGTGGTGGACACTGTCTGTAAACCCTGGATGTGGTGGACACTGGGTGCGGACCCTGGGTGTAGTGGACTCTGGGTGTAAACCCTGGGTGTGGACATGGGGTGTGGAACTTGGAAGTGAGTTACTGGGTGTGGATCCTGGGTGTGGTGAACACTGGGTGTGGACCCTGGATGTGGTGAACACGGGGCGTAGTGGACACTGGCTGTAAACTCTGGGTGTGAACACTGGGTTTGGGTCACTGAGTGTGGAATCTGGGTGTGGACACTGGGTGTAGACCCTCGGTGTGGTGGAAACTGGGTGTGGAGCCTGGGTGTGGACACTGGGTATGGGGTATGGACCCTGGGCAATGGACGTGGGTCTGGGACCCCGTGTGGCCCAGTGCTGGCTGGTGTGCTCCAGGCTCAGATCTGCTCTGTGAGTGGGTAAGCCTCTCCCTCCCTCCCTACGAGCCTCCTGAGGCCTGAGGTCCTGGTTGGCACCCATGCTGAGGGTTCTAGGATGCTTGATTTTGCTTAATTCTCTTGTGAATCTCTGGATTCCTCCTTCCCTTGTCTGAAGTCAGGAGTCCTCACGTGTGGGTTCATCCCTCTTCCCGCTGCAGCCCGGGGACAGCTCTGGGCTGCTCCGAACCTGGGGAGCAGGTTGTCAAATCCATCAGGGTGGAATGCTCAGCAGAAGAAATTGCGCCACAGGGAATTTGAGGCACCTGTCCATGTGGGGCTGTCCTGGCCCTTCTGAAGATAAGCCCTCCTCCTTGCAGACACTGAGGAAGGTGGGCAGGGATCCTTCCGCTCGGTGGAAGATGGGCCGGGATTTCACAACCATAACTGGGCTCAGAGCGCTGAGAAAGGAACGCTTCCTTGAGAGTTAAAAACTGAGTTAAACAAATTGTGTTTGGACTTTCACACTTCACGGAAGGTACCTTTCAGGCATTTGCTAAACTCACGAAAATAATGCCTCAAGAATGCATCTGTTTTTCAGCATAACTTTTTGGAGTTAAAATACACACGGCTCTGCTTCTTAGGCTTCTGCTGAATCCAAGGGGCCTCAGGGCCTGAAGACAAAGCTACCTCCTCCCACTCAGGAGGGCCCGAGGAGCAGACGCAGAATCTTGGGGCCCAGCCCATCTGCCCCTCATGGGCCTGTGACCTTGGGCTAGCTCCTCTGCTGTCTGTGCTCTGCTGTTTGGAAGTACAGCTAACAATACAATTACTAATTTTAACTACTGTTCATGAAATGCTTATAAGGTGCTACACACTGCATGAAGCCTTGTGTGCATTTTAAAATTTAACCTCAAATGGCCCTGGGAGTGAACATTGTCATCTGGATTATGGGGGAGAAGCGATCTCAGCTAAGCGGCTGGCTGGCCTGACCTCACAGCTTATGTGAGGCCAAGCCAGGATGCAGCCCCGGGGCTGGGGAGGACTGCTGTTGGGGTCCGTGTGTTTCCTAAACAAAGGAATGAACACACAAGACAACACAAGACAAGACAAACATGGCGGCCGCCTCTGCTTTATTTTATACAGTCATTTGTGGAATGTTGCCAAGTCACAAGACACATTGTTGTTTTTCTGACCTTTCCCTGACTTTCTGGATTTTCAAGATGTTTACACATAAACAAGCCCCCAACGCTCTGCTTCGTTTGCAAGAGCAGGACTTATCGGGAACGCCCTGCTTTGTTTGCGAGAGCAGGACTTATGGGGGAACACCCTGTTTGCAAGCATGAAGTCCTCTACAGACCGCCCTGCTCCACCTTATCTGTTGGCTCTCCACTTGCCTCAACTGATAGCAGAGGAGAGAGAATAGGAGCATGGACGTGGAGTGGGGCTGGATCCGGAGTGATAGATGTGAGGGGCTGAGTTGATGCTTTTCTCTATTTTCATGCATGTTTGAACATTTCTATAAGAAGCAAAGTTGAGGCATATTATCATATAGATGGAGAAATAAAGACTGACCTAGGGATAACACACAAGAAGTATAGAAGTATTTTCTGGTTTGAATCAACCTTTGGATGTCTCACTTTTTGGAGTGTAGAGGGGTGGAGCCTGGCTTCAGGGCTGTGCTGGAAGACAGAGGGTTGGCATTTCCTCAGTCTGTCTGGCTGTAGGCACGAGACTCTTTTGACACAGGAGGCAGTATCAATTTAGACCCAGAGAAATCTCAGCAATCATGCCACAAGCAGCCGCTTTTCTCCAGAGCCTTGTCTGTATGTGTAGGTATGTGTAGTTGTGTGTAACTGTGTTTAAGTGTGCATACACACATGCATGGATTTGTGTGTGTTTGCATGCATATATGTGTTCAGGTGCCTGTGTGTGTGAACATGAATTTATGTGTGTACACATATTTGTGTACATGTGAACACACATGTGCATACTGTGTGAGCAAAAATGTATTTACTGTGTATATAAGTGCATATGCATTTATATGTATGTAAGAAAATAATCGTTCTCCAATGCTTACAAAGAGCAAGCCCAGGGTTTGTTATGGTGTGTGGTATGTGATGGTGCTCTGTTCCATAAATACAAGCAACTAATTATAATATTGGATGGAGGGGCTCATCTGAAAAATAGAGACAGAAGCCTTGTTTCAGCCCTGTAGATGATGGTTTATGGTTGCCATTCTTCTCTTTACATTTCATTGCCTTTGTTTTGTTTTATGTGTGATTGCAGTAAAGAATTAAACAAAAAGTAAAACTCGGCCAGGCTTGCTTCTGGTATTGCCATAGCCTGCGTTAGGTGACGTTTTGCACAGTTCATGTTTCTTGAGCACCTCCTAGGTGCTGGGCCCGCACAGGGCGCTCTGAATGCTGTAGTGAACCAGCCACGTGGCATCAAGCCCGAGAGCACAGTGTTTCAAAACGGCAAACCCAAGTGTGGTAGAGACTGAGCTTGTGCTTCTTGGGGCTAGTGGCCCATTTAGAAGCCTCCTTCCATGGGGCGATCGTCCCCCATGAGGACCAGTGAGAAGGCAGTTTGTGGGGAAACCAGCCAGGTGACACAGGGATGCTCAGGGCAGGTGGCAGTGACTCAGTCTGGTGGAGCTTCAGGGCTGGTGCTTTCCTGGACACTTGCCCCAGGTGTCTGGCCATGCCTCCTGCATGTGAGCTCAGACACGGCCCACAGCTGTCTTTTCTCTGGGAGAGGAGCCCAGGCTCTCCAGCCTGGCACTCTAGGAAAGGTGATTGAGTTGGCCATGGTTTGCCCGAAGGCCTTTCAGGAAAGTGAAACTGAAGGAAGGATGAACTTCTCCTTCACCTTGGAAATTCATAGTCCAGATCGCCAGCATTCAGGAACCCCACGGGCACAGGGTGGAAGCGTGCATTCACACTGTTCCCAGCTGCAGGGAGAAATGCAAAGATAGGGAAGGAATGGCAGGGGCAGAAGGGGAAGCCGACCCAGGTTGGGCCTTTGAGCATCTGTGTCCCTCCCCGAGGTCCCTGCCCAGTCCCCCACAGGCCAGGGTCAGAGGGGTGAGCTGGGTGCATTGCTCAGGGAAAGCCCACCAGGCTCAGAAGAGCAGCCTTGGGGTGGCGGAGCTGGCCTCAGAGTGCCAGCCGGGCCTTGTCTGTGGCTCCTGCAGCCCACACACTGGTTGGACACTTCCAAGCGAATAATGGAGAGGAAGGGGGAAGAAGACTTCTGTTGATCCCTTAATATGCTGTGCACAGCAGCTGCCGGATCCCAGGTAATTTATTGGGGTCTGAATTTGGAAATTTTTTGATGAAATGGGTAATTTTCACTGACCATTTAGCTCTGTTTCTCTTTTCCTCCCAAATCCACAGTTTCCAGGACATGGTTGGGGCAGCCAAGCCGAGGAGCTGCTGGACCTACAGAACTGCGAGTCCCACAGTTTCCCTGTGGATTCTGAGTGACACGGCGGCCCTGGCTCGAACCAGCCCCACCGTTTCCCCGTGGATTCTGAGTGACATGGCAGCCCTGGCCTGAGCCGGCAGGACAGTCGCTGGCTGCCTGTGCTCCTGTGGACCCAGGGCCTGTCTCAAGGCCTGCCTGCTGTCAGTCAAGCATGCTGGCGGATGCGGGGCCCTTTCCCGCCACACGTCCAATCGTGATCAAAGGAGGATGAGCATGGAGAAAAGTGTCCTTCCAGTTCATTCAGAGAGCAACCTGCTGCATGATGACTTCACTAGTACATGGAATGGAAGGGAAGGGTTTCCTCTTAAGCCATTTGCAGCATTTCACCCTGTGCCTTTTCTGCATGAATCTGGAATCCCCACACTTGTAGAACATCCAACAAGCTTCCTTCCGAGTTCCTTAGACTCAGGTCTAGGAATCAGATACTTTTTATGTATTATCGATGGCATCTTATATGAGTAAACTGCATCCCTCATGCAGTCTTGCAATCCGACAGTTTCAGCCTATGAAGGTTTTGTTGCTGGCGGGGACAGCTGGCTGATTGTTTGAACCCTAGGGCAGAAAAGCACACTGAAAAGGCGGAACATTTAGCTTTCAGTAAACTCGTTACATCTTACACTTTATTTACGATGGTGGTTTACTCAGACTCTAAAGTTATTTTCTTATTTATTTTGCAGAACATTCTGATGTAAAATCCCATGGATTTTACGGTGTGCTGCACAGACCCACGGCACAGTGAGTGGAAAGTCATCCAAGCGTCTAGTCTTCCTGGGTCAGCAGTATAGAATGGGTTCAGGAGTGTGTGACTCTTGTACACTTCAAAAGCCTGGAGACAAGTACTTCCCAGCTGTGCGGCAGAAGTGGGCCCTGGGTACAGAGCCGGAAGATTCCAGATTCTCTGCATCGCTGACCCAGAGCTGCCTCCATATCCCTGGCTGCTCAGAGAGGCCTGAAGGCCCCAAGAGCAGGTGCAGGGGAGCGGGTGGCTCTGGCTGTTATATATTGAGGCAGGGCCGCTGGCTCCTGCTTCGACCTCTCTGCCTTTGAACTGGTTGTCCTGGGACAGGTGGGTGTCAGCATGGGTGTAGGGGTGTGGAAGGGGATCATGTCCTGCAGACGGACATCTAGCCAATGGGGATGCTGTGGGAGTGCGTCCTGGGGTCACTCCAGGCTATCTGGATTTTCTGAGTACAAGCATTCAAAACATTCTGGGGTTACAGCAGAGCATGGCCTCTGACAGGCAAGGATGACATGTGGCCAGACACACCTGGAGGTTGTGGGAAGTCTGTCGCTTTAGGAACCCTGTGGCCGGGCTCAGCCTAGAGCAGGGAAGAGGTTCAGGGAAGGTCTATGGTATGCCTGGCACTAGCCCTGTGCAACCAGGCCCGTGTGGATGGTCCAGGCCACGGCCAAAGTGAGGCTTTTATCTTAGAAACATGGAGGATATTTCCATTTTTTTATGCACCATTTTCTGAATCAACCACATAATCATTGGTTCCTATAGCAAGAATTTCACCAGATTCTACATTTTATTCATTCATTGGGAAACGCTTGCTGCCTTCTCTGTGCCAAGACCTGGTCCAGGTTCTGGAGATGCAAAAACAATGAGCTGTGGTTCGTGCTCTCTGGAGGTACCTGAGCTGTAGAAGGGAAAAAGGTACACGTGCTCAGCATGGTGAGATGGTTCATCAGCGTAGGTCTACACCCAGAGATGTGGAGGCTGGTGCCAGATCTCAAGGGATGGTCCCTTCTTGGAATCAGAATTGTCTGCATAAAGTGGTGGTGGGATGAAGAAACCTGGGGTGAGGCAGTGGCCCTGGGGGCTGGATCCGGAAAGGTCCTGAGATGCTTCTGGTCAGGACTCAAACTCCAGGAAGGGATGCTTCAATGTGAGACACTGGTGCCTCCTTGGTGAGGTAGTGATGGGGGCACCACTGCCGTGCTCGCTCTGGGGATAATTCCCCCCAGGGGGTTTGGGCTCAGAGGCAGGGCCCCACTGCATGTTGGAAAGACAAGGTGTGGTCTTTCAGGAGATTGGTCACATAGAGTGAGGACTAGACCTGTGAGCTCACAGAGGAAAGGGCCACAGTCAGGTCCTGGCTCTGCCTCCTTGAGCAGCTGCTCGGTCTTGACCTGCCTCAGTTTCCTCATCCATGAAATGGGAATGTTGGCATTATCTGCCTTGTGGCTTTCTCACGAGGGTTAATGAGAATGTGCAGTGCCTGTTCCATTGTAAATGCTCAATGCATTGTCCTGTGGTTGTTCTTAGAGTCTTCCAAACTTACTCTATGGGAAGAAATAATCATTTAACAAGCAGAAATAATCTGTGGGGACCTAATTTTCATTTTTATAAACAATTGTATCTCTTCTTTACTTGAAATAGGTCAAAATCAGAATATGTAGTAAATTTAGCCTCCAAAGTTTAGCTAAATGTGGTAATACCTGATGATCTAACATGGGCTAATTATGCTTTGGGGTCATCTAACGGGACTGTTCAGATGTAGTCATTGATCACTGCTAAAATCCTCACAAATATTTGTGTGTGGTTATTGTTCAGTAATAGCAACCCCTTCAACTCCAAATACAAGCTTCGAACAGGTTCAATGATGGGAGCTGCCCGAGGGACCCAGGGCATCTGGTTTACTCCCAGGAGAAAAGTCACAGCAGACTCAATTCATCACTTTTTGCTGGGAAGCTGCTTCTCTCATGAGATGAAGTCGTGGCCGTCGTAACTCTTCCCTAAACTCTTCCCTATCAAACTGAGCGCGCTCCCTGGCCTCTGTTAATGAACAGCGACTTCATGTCCAGGAAGTGCACTGCTTGTTGTGAGGCAGAAGATGACGTGGATCCGGGCCAGGTGTCCAGGAGGGAATTCTGACATGTGAGGTCCAGGAGAGGATCTGGCTCTGTGGACTCAGGGCCCAGGCCAGGCAAGTGCTGGATTCGAGATTGGCCTTGGTTCTCTCCTAAGGAGTGTCTGGACAAGGGAGTGATTGACAATTTTGTGTGTGTGTGTGTGTGTGTGTGTGTGTGTGTGTGTGTGTGTGTGTGTATAAGATCATTGACTTGCTGGTTAATATAAATGACAAATGACAAAAATAGAACCCTTTTGTGTAATTCCCTACCCTGGACACCCAAGATCCCAAAGCAGGATGCCATCATTTTCTTATCATAAACTGTGCCCCAGGCAGAGCAAAAGTGGTCGTGGCCACAGGACTCTTGCACTGGTGGTTCCTGCTGCCATCCTGCCCTTCTCCACTGCAGCCCCAGAAACTCCCTGTCCGTCTTATGTCTAATTTCACTGGAAATCCCCCCTGGGTGGTTTGCTGGTATTTTCTGACCTGAGATTCAATCTCAGCTCTTCACTGTCCCCATCTCTTAGCAGATCTCACTGGCTAGGGTTTGAACTGGTGATGCCAGTTCAATCTCTGTAAGGACACGGTATCTGGGAGGCAGAGCAGACGTAGTCCTGGAACACGCAGATTGGGCTGAGCCTCACCGCCTGGCTGGGCCTTGCTCTCCTGGTTAAGACGGGTGGGTTAGCGGACCTGAATGGGGATCCTGGCAGCCTGTCCACTCTCCTTTCTCAGAACCCACTGCTCCTTCTCGCTGCCCATGTGATCTCTGACCAGGAGTTTTTTCTCTAAGTTCTGGCCTGTGGTATCCTGAGGACCTACCTGGGAGTAAGTGTGTCCTGGTGCCCCGCTGGCTTGGAAGATTGAAAGGGTGGTGAGATCCCACCATGTGCCCTCCTGGGGAATGTCGCGGGTGCTGGGCCAGCCTGAGTCCTCGTGGGAAACAGATGCATCCTCAGTTTGTGGAATTTAAGGAGAGTTTAATAAGAGGATAATGTGAAGGTGGGCGGAGTGTGGGGAGGGCACAGTGCTTTGTGCTGGACATGGGATCGCGGGGCATGTACCATGCTGTGGATTGAAGACAGAAGGGGGAAGAACAGCTGGTGGAAATGAGGGGCATGGGGAATCTTGCAGGAGCTGTGTCCTTCACCCAAGGAAAGCACCCAGTCTGCGGGAGCCCTGCAGGCAGAGAGCAAGGATGGGTAGTGTGGATAAATACTCCCCCTTCTCTCTCCTCCCCCACTGCCTCCCTCCCATCTCCTGACAGGGCTTCCCAGTGGCTGAGCCCACCTGGAAGCCAGGCAGGTAGCCTGGTGAAGCCTTGCGGGTGGGCTGCTATGCAGCACCTGGTGGGGAAGGGTGACGAGTGCTTTTGCAGAAACAGAAGCTGTGTGCTGCACGAGGAGGTGGAGGCAGCTGTGGCATCCTGGGCTTGCTGCAGTGTCCCTGTCCACAAGTGAACCAGCCATTTGCTCTCACTGTCTTTGGGACACAGGTTTGAGGTGTGTTGGCCTCTCTGGCTCATCCTAATAACTGTGCATGGGCTGCCCAAGCCTGGGAGACACAGGTGTGAGCAAAGGGGAAACCCAGAGCCTGGGACCTCACATGCCGGCCATGAGAATCCACAGACAGTGCTGGGAACCGTCTGCAATGTGTGCTTGTGGTTCATGGGATGGGAAATACCATGGCTGAGCGGTGAATACCAGCATCTCAGAGGTGGACGCAGACACAGCACATGGGAGGGCAGGCAGGGGGCGGGGGATGAGCGGGCAATTTGGAAATGGAAGATGGAAGGCAGACCGGGCACTGCTGAGAACTGCAGCCTGCTGGTTCCAGGCTGCATCCGCAGGGTGTGCCAGGGGCCGCCGACATCCGGTGTGCATCCGGAGTCTCACCCGGCTTGGTTGTTGCCTCATAGAGTTTTGCTGACACTAATTTACTGATTCATTCGCTCAGCAGCGTTGATTGCGCACTATTGTTTGATTGACACTGGTCTAGACACTGTGGGGTATGAACATTGCCTAAGTCTTGATAGGTGTTTTCAAGGATATTTACATCTGGCAGGGAAGATTAGAAGCATTTACTTACATATGCACAAGAAGCCAAAATAGGGGACTTTCAAACATCCCCTACTCTGGGGAGGGGGTTATGGGTGGTGGGAGGGGTGGTGTGTCAGCTGCTACCTGGAAGGAAGCAGGGGGGGCGGGGGGCAGTGTCAACATTTTTCTTTCTATTTTAAAATATATTATGTAACCAAAACAGGGTGTAAAAATATATGCACTCAGTGAACTGGTTCACTGTGACTGCCACAAAAGATTACCATGAATCTGCTGGGTTAAAACAAAAGAGATTGATTCTCTTATGGTTCTGGAGGCCACAAGTCCAAAATTGAGGTGTCAGCAGAGCCATGCTCCCTCTGGAGGCTCTAGGGGAGAAGGCTTCCCTGCCCCTTCCAGCTTCTGGGGGCTCCAGGTGTCCCTGAGCTTGTGGCCACATTGCTCCAGACTCTGCCTCCATCTTCACACGGCTCTCTCCTTCTCTCTGTGTCTTCTCCACTTCTGTCTCATATAAGGATACTTATTTTTTATTTAGGACTCACTTGGTTAACCAAATGATCTCTTCAGAGTCGTCATTTATTTTCATCTGCAGAGATGCTTTTTTTTCTTTTCCCAAATAAGGTCACTTCGCAGTGTAATGGGGGTTAAGATGTGGATATATCTTTAGGGGGTACCATTTCACCTGCTACATCTAGTTTAAAAATAATGGTAAGATAAAGAGCCACAGGGCTAAATCAGAATGTTCTGGAAACTTAGAAGCTTTTGGTGTAGGGTAGCCAATAGTTCCACTTTGCCCAAGACTGTGCTGGTTGTAGCATTGAAATTTCTAAACCGTAGGAAATTTCCCATTTCCAAATCTTAGGAAATTTCCCATTTCTAAACCTTAGGAAATTTCTCATTTCTTGGCAAAACCGGGCAGTTGGCCATCCTACCTCCCAGTGTTCCACCCCGATCACCTTTCCCTCTGTCTTTCTCTCCAACTCTCTACCCACCAAACACTGCCCTCAAAGTCAACTGAATCCCTTGTCCTTCCTTATGGTTGCCCCACCTCTATGTGTGTCTCTAAACAATAGACTGCTTAGTTTCTCTCTTTTTGAAGTTACACACAGGTAACTGCACAGTCTGGAATTTGTTTGCTTCTTTTGCTTGATGTG